TTCAAGAGAAGTAAAAAACTATTTCTAAGATCTTTTTTTTTTTTGCATTAACTGCTGTAGAAGAATGAGATAGAAACTGCTAAGATATACACTACTGTATACCTTCTATCAAGACTTTTCCTCTTCAGAGTCTTGATATTATAGAGAATATAAGTCTGTTTCTATATGATAATGTAAATATTGTCAGCGGGATGTAGAGAAACTAGTTATTTATATCTCAAAATAGAAGACTTTGTCAATGATTATATCAATATAGAGTTAATTCTCAAATTCAATAGAAATCTAGTGTTGCTGTTCTCAATCTCTTGCAGAATCTATTAAATATTGAGATATTAAAACTAGATTTAATATATCTCACTGTGCAGGGATCAAAGGCTCAGTCAGACCTTGAAATATACTGATTTTATAGTTGTTGATGTGCTGTTGACTCATTGTTCATTGATTATGTGCTTGATATTATTGCCAAGGTATCTTTTTGTATTTTTCTGCCGGGGATGGGCCAGATTGGGAAGGGCGGTACGAGGGTGGGACTTGGTGTTGATGTTTTGGAACATCAAAGATGGACAGGGTTTTCGCGGAGGTCGCTTCTCAGATATCTCCACAACTACAGATCGGGGATCTTCCAAAATCGAGAAGATTGGTGCATACGGCTAGGTCTCTTCACCTTACAATTTGTATGGCAATTTGGCCCGGGGTTGTGGTGTGGTAGGGGAGAATGGGGGATAATCCCACGCAGGAGTTCCGAACGACGTCTGGTTCACGTTTGGCTGGATAACTCCACCACCACACGGGGTATGCGGTCGGCGATGGGGTCAAAATGCTCGTATGATCGAGGGCTTTTCGATGGATCTATCGGCGGGTTCTTATTCGAAAAATCGAGCGAGTTCGTGGTGGAGCGGTTGAAATGTCAATATAGAAATGCATACATGTACATGTAGAAAAATTAAAGAAGAGTGCAGAATCTACAGAATCAGAAGTCAGAGTAGAGAAGATAGAGATAGAAGAAATAGAAGAAGAAGAAGATACAGAATCAGATAAATGACAGCAGAAGTCACTTAAAACTGAATGCTTATAACTCAGTGTGTGCACAATCTTTCTCATAGAGAAGAAAGAGAAAGTGATAAGAGAAGTTTAAAAGCAGAAGAGAGTAGTCTTAGCAGTATTATCATCTTTAATTAGAATGATCTCTGATACTGAAGTAACTAAGAATCATTATTAGTGTATAAAAACTATAAAATCAGAGATGAGAACAGTTACTGAATAAATATCTGCTGATTTTAGAGTTGTACATGTAATTACAACACACACAAGACTTTTCAGAAAGAGAGAGAGAGATACAGAGAAATACAGAAAGCAGAATGTAGTATATAAATAGCTCATTTACATAATAATATCTCAGACAAGGTGTATGAGTCTTATATCTATGAGTGTAAAAGAGTACAATATTCATATTTCTGTTTCTGAAAACACAGATATCTTTTGTCTGCATCATGAAGTCAGATAACAGATGCTAAAGAATAGACTGATACAGATCTATCATTCTGAAGAAATTCATTAGAGTGAATATTCTCACAATGTTAAACTTTACAGTTATAAAAAGTTTCTTGATATCTGTGAATATCATAACTTTATGTATAATAAAACTCATAACAATTTCTTCTAAGAACAGAAAAATCAGTGTTAGAAAGAAAAGATGCAAAAGAAAAAAACTTACAATCTTAACACTGTTGAAAGAGAGAATGATTCTCTGATATAAATAAATAATTATCTCATTATAAATATTTAAAATGAATATAATAATCAGTGTCTGTGACTAAGCTTTAGATAGTTATATCATATACTATTTTCATATAATAAATTATTCTAGAAGTTGATAAGAAGAGTGAGAGTGTATATACTGAGAAACATGATTTACTGAGTTTATATAATATCTTCTTAAAATGAGAAGAGCTAGTAATAAAGACAGTGATAGAAGTAGAAGTAGTAGAAGTAAGAGTTGTAAGAACAGAGATAGTAAGAATAGAAGAATCAGATACAGAGACAAGTATAGAAGATTGAGAAAGAGTGATAGAGAAAGAAACAGAGAAGAGAGTAGCAGAGAAAGAAGTAGTAGAAGAGATAGAGAAGAATATAGAAGACTTAGTTATATATAATACAGACAATTTCTTTATTATCACATTCTTCAAGTTCTTAATCAATAATTTAACATTGAGTTCACTATCATCAGCAGACACAGATCTGTCAATATGTGAAGATTTTATATGAATAAAAATAAATATATCAGTATCTATTTTCATGTAAAATTGTGCTAAAAAACACAATCAGAAATCTGCTGAGAAGAAAAACAGTTAAGAATATATAAGAAGATGAAGAAGATGTATCATTCATGAAAATATATTCTAATAATTATTAGAAGATAAACAAGTTCTGATCACATTTTATAACATGTTATACTTACTGCTAACAAACTGCTTAGTATAAGTACTATAATGATACTTATTATGAGAATAGAGAGTCATTGTCAGAAATATATATAATATGATAGATGAACAGATAGAAAGAGTTAAATAGAAGAAGAGATAGAAATCTTGAATAAGATGATAGTATTTAATAATGATGATAATGAAGAAGATAATTGAAGAATGAGAAAAGTTAGTGAATAAGAGATGTAATATAGTGAAAGTTTCTTTGTGAGAGTGTATACAGAATACTAGCTGAATCAGAAATAAATCATACAATTGTGAAATACTAGTGATAAGCTAATCTGTATGAAGCTAGAATATACAACATGATTACATGAGTGTGACTGAATCTGATGAGAGAGAATGTGATTTGAAAGAATATACAATCACTGAATAATAATGCGGCTGGTTCTGAACTTGCTTATGAATGTAAAGAGGCCATAGCGGCCATCAATTAATTTAGTGTACAGTATATAAGAAGCCGGCGTACGCCTGTAATCGTACACTGACTCAAGCAACCTTTGAATCACATCAGTACTGCATTTCATTCACAGACAGATAATCAGACTGAATATCAGAATCAGATATTAAAACAGTATCTTTAAGTGTTCTATTTATATTATTAGAATGATTGACTTAAATATCTTTTAACTGCTGAATTTATATATAATAATGTAAAGAATGTAATCTTAAAAGTATCTTCTTTCTATGCTTATTATGAATATAATTCTTCATTACTCAGTGACATTGCAGACAACATTTCAAAGAGAGAAATAGACAGTCAGAATATTAAATAGATACAGAGAACAGAGTATCTCTCAGTATTAGAAGTAAAAGTGAGATTGAAACTTTTGAATAAAATTCATGAGAAGATGATGAAAAGCATTCACTATACTCAGAAGTAATAGATAGAATACTATAATTAAAAACATCTTTCAATGAAGTTCTTGATAGAAGATTAAGTACTACTTTCAGCAAAGAATATCAAGATAACAAGATTATATAAGAAGCTCAGTGAGTAATGACTAGAATCTTTCTCAGTAATAAGAGTGATGAGTAAATAGATATATAAGTTAAAATTACTCTCAGAATTGAAATCAATTTATTCTGTTTTTCACATTTTCTATTTAAAGCTCTATAAGTAATACTCTGAGACAGAGCTGTCTTGACTGAATGATATTGAGATTAAGAGTGATACTGAATATCTTATGAAGAAAATATTAAATAAGTGAATATATTACAGTAAGCTTCAATATCTTATTAAATAAGAAGATTATTCATTATCAGAGAATTTATGAGAATTACTTAAGTATTTGAAAAATACTGAGAAAGAGATTGTAAGCTATGAGACAGTTAATAGAGACTGTCTTATTATATATCAGAGATATTGAGTAAGAAATACTACTTAAGACTTCTTATTTTTTCTTAAAGAATTTTTTAGAGATAATCTCACAGTAATAAGCTGATATCTTATAAACTCTGTAACACTCTTCTTCTATTTTCTCTTAAAGAATTTTTTAGAAGTTTAATAAGACTATACAAGTGTAAAATTTCTGAAGCAGTTAGAGAAAAGAGATATTTAAAATTAATAAAAAGATTAATATTATTGATCTGAAGACTGCTGCTATTCTAATAGAGCTACAGTCTACTGAAAAAGTAAAAAGAAGAATCAGAGTCTACTTATTAATAATCACACTCTTATCAAACTCATTCTTCTGTAAGAATAAGTGCTCGCAGGCGATTATTCAGGTGTTTGCAGCTTGACGTGATATGTACTGTTAACTATTAGAAGTGTTCACAGTAGAAAGATAAAATGTAGAGATCAAATGTATAATAGCATTCAAGCTGAGTTATAAATAGTATTCGCGAACTCCAGTCTATATAGTTGTGTGTAGTCAAGAGCCGCTAGCTCTATTGATTATATAAGAGATAGAAATAGAAGTAAAGAATTCATAAGAAGTGAGATTTCTTACATACTTCTCTCTCTCTAAGACTTCATCTGCAAAGCCTTTCACTGAGTGACTTCATAGTCAGCTCAGCACTGTAGTGATACTCACTAAAAATTCTTTACATCTATAAAAAATCTCAGTGAGAAAAAATCCCTTGTTACTGTGAAGAGAAAAGAGTCTGTCACTCAGTTTCTTATTCTGTGAGATTCTTTGTGATCTACAGATTCTTCTCTAACTATCATACAGATTCATCTTACATCTTTCATACAGAAGAGTTCTGATTGACTCTCAATTATTTTCATAAGATTCTTGTGTAATTATTACATAGATTCATCTCACAGATGAATCACTCTCTGTGAGATCACTCTCATCAAAGAGAAATATTCACAAGTTAATCTTTTATTCATTCTCACAAATTATTGCTCTTTGATACTGTAGAATTGTGAGGAATTTTTCATTCTTTTATCAACTCTGTAGAATTGTAGAATTAAGATATTCACAGTCTGCAATCACTCTTTATAGTCATATAGAAAGATTCAGGCCTGTAATTCACAATTACTCTTATTTACTAGAGTGATCTGACTGTTCTATGAGATCACTCACAGTGTAAGCAAATCTCTCTAAAGTAGTATAAATATCTCAGATCTGTCTGTAGAATCTCATCTTCTTTTCTCTTTTTCTATAACAGCTCTTATTCTTATAAACTATGAGTATCTTCATTCATCTGTGAAGTATTTTCACTCAGATAATAGAGAGAGAGTGTTTCTGATAATATTCATGTATTAATTCAAGAACTTCTCAAGAATAAAAATTTTTCAATTTCAACATTTTTATAACAATGTCTGATTATTACTGAGCTTCTTATGAGTGTCTCTGCAACTTCTCTGATTGCTTTTTACTGACTGATGAAGCAGAAATGCTGCTGCTTACAACTGTATCTTCATCTCTCTCAACTCTGTCATTACATCTGATCTTCAGATCAGCAGTTCTTCTCATCTCTTTCTCAGATCAGTCTCTGACTTTAAACAGCACAGTCTCTTTCTTTGCTGTAAGTCTTCTCACAAGTAATTTCTTACAGATTCTAGCTAACAGTTCTTGTGAAGCTTCTGATGTTATCAGTGTCTTCTACAGCTCTGTGAGTCTATGATCACTCTCTCTCTGTCCACACAATCTCTGACCAGGTATATGTGAATATGCCTAGGTTTCTCATCAATGGTTCTCGCGCCGCGGCACATTTCCACAATCTCATTGTCAATGAGAGATGAGTTCTCAGGTACCTGCAAAATCCAGGTAATTAAGACAATGCAAATGTTATGAATTTGTGATAAGAGTTAATCTGAACAGATGAGCTCTCTCTCTGCATTCTCATTGTTTCTGAGCTGAATACTTCAGTACAACTGAGAGAGCAGACACAGCTTCATAAGAGATATCTAATCATATACACAGATGATTAGTCTTCAAAGCTCTGCTGCAACTATACACATTCTGATATTCAGCTTCTCTGAAGTCTGTGCATTTCTGACAGTCTTCATGTCAAATGTAATAATTATCTGTACTGCAGATATAATACTCTCTGCTTCTTTAAAGAGAGAAATTAATAGTTGTGAAAAGATTGAGTGTTACAGATATTAATAATATAAGTGTGAGTTTTCTTTATTTTTTCTTTATTAATCTCTAAATTGTATTCACAGTTCTGTTTATTTTCTTATTTTTTAACTTTAATAAGAACATGTTTTCTTCTTCTCTTATATACATTACAGACTATTCATCTCAGTAGAAACTCATCATCTTGTAGACTAGAGTTCATAAATAACAGTGTTAATATCTTTGTCATAATCAGATTCTTAGTGAAGATTACATTATTCTGACTTATCAGAATTCATAGTATAAAAGTCATGTCTCAGCTTCTGCAGATGTCTTATCTATCTGAATAATTCTCAAGTGAACTCATTCATCTTGTCAGAATACTCTTATCACTGAACCTTGAATCAGAGCTTACAATCTCACTTCTCTGAGTTAATAATCTCTTTAATCTGATATTCTCTTTCACTCTCTAGTGCTTTATAAATAGAGTGATGAGTCACAGAGTTCTCTTCTAAGAATTTCTTATATTCACAGAGCAAAGAGATATGAAAAATATTATATATCTATAACTCAGATAACAGTTTCAATCTATAAAACTATAAGCTAATTTTCTTTATAATCTTGTAAGACTCTGTTCATAAAAGATTCAGCTTCTTACTAGATCTCTGTATAATGATATTTTCTAGACTCAGTCAGACTCTATCATCTTTCTTAAAACTCTTTATAATATACTTAAAGTCATAGTATCTCTTCTAATACTCTTGAGCCTTTCTTAAGAATTTACAGACTTTCTTCTGAATCTTCTGAATTCTCTCAGCCTGTTCACAGACATCATCACACTCTATAGTATACTCTCATGAGTTCATCAAGATCATCTGTGAATAAGTCTCAGTAAGTATCTTAAAGAGGGTTTTATCTGTGCTGATATGTTTTAAGTTATTGTATATAAACTCTGTGAGTGATAATCAATACACTCAGTCATTCTGATTATAATTAACAAAGCACTGCAGATACTGTTTCAATATACTTATCAGATATTCTATCTGATTATCTGTCTGTTAATGAAAAGCTGTACTTAGATCTTATGAAATCTTCAGTATAGTTATCAGGTCAGATCAGAACTCTTCTACAAAGATTAATTCTCTGTCTGAGATAATATTCACAGATAACTCATACAATCAGATTACATTGTGAACAAAGATATAAGCTAAATTCTTTGACTTCAAGTTCTTACAGATGAATATAAAGTATGCTATATTAATAAAGTAATTCACTATCATCAGCACACTGTCAAAGCAGACATCATATATGTTCTTACTTTCAGAGAGACTTACAAGAATATTCATTTCTAGCTGTTCTTAAGGTTTCTGTAGAATGAGTAGAGAAGTAAGTTCTTTATATAATCTGAACTGTACTACTCATAAACTCTGATAAACAGTATAAGAATTCACTATCTTCTTCACAAGTTCTTGCATCTTCAGTCAGAAGTATTTTCTTATAAACAACTCATGAGTTCTAGTGTCTGTAAAATGACTTACTAAAGAAGAGTTATAATATCTTTTAATAAGTTCTATATATAGAAACTTATTCACAGATACATAAATTCAGCTCTCTCTTCATAAGAGATTATTTAAGTCTCTTTAATTCTTTATTTCTGCAGAATTGATCTCTGCTGTAAGCAGTTTCTGAATATACTGAGTATATTCATTCTTCAGTTACAGTTCAGATAATCTGAATAGAAGATCTTATAAAGACTTATACTCTGTTTTCTCTTATATCAGATCTTCTATGATACTTCTCAAAGCTCATAAATTCTTCAGATTATAGATACTCTCTTCAAGAATTCTCACAGAGATCTTCAGAGTGTTGACTCTCAGTGTTGTAAAGAGTAGTTATATAGACTTCTTCTCTCTCTCTTTTCTTTTCTCTCATAGAGAATTGAGAGACTCTTCAGTTAATCTCTTTACAACACTCAGTTCAAGCATTTTATAAAACTTTTCTGTCTTCTCTAGTCTCTCTGTGTCTATTATTCTGATCTTCTTAACATAGTCTGATCTGTGAGAGAGTCTGTCTGCTGAGTTCTTAGTTTTCTTAATATATTCTATCTTGAATCAGAACTCACTCAGTCTCTGAGCTCAGTGAATCTGTCACTGTGAGAGTTTCTTAATTAAAGTAAACTGTTATAAGCTATCATGATCAGTTCTAACAGTAATCACTGTTATAAGACTCTTGAAGTAGTGATATCAGTGATAGAAGAATTTCACTATTATGAGAAGCTTCTGATTATGAATGTCATAGTTAATCTTCACAGATTACATCTTTCATAAGAAAAAGATCACTGAAACTCAGTTCTTATTTAACTGTAGTTATAAGACTATTTCTGAAATTATAAAGAAGAAGATATCTGTCTTCAATCTGATTAAGAGTAAGAGATTAAAGTGAAATAGCATCACTATATTCATGAATATCTGTTTTAATCTTACAAAGATCTCATAAGCTTCTGAGATAAGAAAGTTCTCACAGTTCTCTCTTCTCAATAATCTTTTCATTCTCTGTTTACAGAATGACTTCTTCTTATTTTCACTCTTCAGTATGTCTGTAAGAGTTAAGAAGATTCTTATAAATATAAAGATAAACTGTCTATAGAAATTCACAAAGCTCAGAAAGATCTGAATCTTATAAATACTAGTTAACTTCAGCTATAATAGAATAGTCTCAATCTGCAAAGATTTTATCTGAATATCATTCACAGTGATTATATATTCTAGGAAATTAATTCAGCAGACACTGAAGTTATACTTTATAAGCTTAATATGCAGTTCTGTCTCATCTAAGATCTTCAATACACTTTATACATACTCAGTATATTCTTTCTTCTTCATAAAGTACATCATCACATCATTCAGATATATTATCATGAAGATATTCAGATATGCATGAAGTGTTTTATTGATGAAAGACTGAAATGTCATAGAAGTATTAGTCAGATTAAAAGATATCACTAGATATTCAAACAATCTCAGTGTAGTTCTAAAGACAGTCTTTCATTCATCTTCAGATTATATTCACAGCTGTGTATATACATTGATCATATTCAGTTATGTGAATATAACAGCTCTTATAAGATAGTTGATCACATTCTCAATCAGAGATAGAGAGTAGTGACTCTTTGTTATCTTGAAATTCAGATTGTAATAGTCTATATATAATCTGAGATCTTTATTCTTCTTCTTTACAAATATCACAGAGGCTTCTGCAGAGATCTGTAAAGATTGAATAAAGTCATTCTTCAGATTCTTCTTCACATAGGTCTGCAAGACCTCTGTCTTATAATAAGAGAGCTTATAGATTGATCTCTAGAAGAGTTTCTACTCTTCTATTAAATCTATTATCAGATTCTTCTTACAGTGAGAAGAAAGCTCAACTGTCTTAGCTGAGTTAAACATCTCTATGAGATCTTAATATTTCTCTGATATCTGAAGCTCAGTTTTCATGACTGCAAGGTTCTCAGACACTTATAAAGTCATTATATAGATGAGCTTGTCTTCTCTAATTAACTCTGCAGCATTAACTACTTCTATCTTCATAAGTAAGTCTATCAATACTGATTGAAAGTATAAACCTGACTCACAGACAGCTATATGCAGATTATGTCTTTGAAGTCATACAAGTCTTAAATATATGTTATCTATGATGTCTGTAATAATCACAGTTTCTGCAAATCTTCTCCAGATTTTAGAGAGATCTTATAATTCAAAGATAACTCTTATAAGTCTCTCAGCTCTCAGATCTGAGTTCTCATATTCTGCTTATTATAAGAGCAGGTTCTCAGTCTTCATCTTTCAGCTTATTCACTTCATAAGCTTTAGAAACATCACAGTAATCTGAGATTCTGAGTTCATCAATACTTCTTATACTTGCAGAGTAGTAGCACTACAGTGCAGTCTCTTCTCATAAGTAAGCATTTTCATTGAGAGAGTAACAGATTCAGATGTCAGCTTCAAGACTCTTAAGAAGACTGTTGCTAACTCTGTCTGTAACTTCTCAAATTTCTATTTTAGTTTATCTAAACAGTTTGTGTGAAGATGTTCTGATTTAGAATAGATAAAGCAGAGTTTCTTTTTCTTAATCTCTCTATTATACACTCTATTTATGAAAGCTTGTAAAGCTCTCTCTCTCTGCTCAGCAGTCAGATACAAATCTCTTTATATCTTGTTATCTTTTCTCAGTAAATCTGTTCTTTGTTGTTCTGATTCTTACAGAGCTAGTTGATAATTCACTCTTTATAAGTCTATAGCTCTCACAGTGATCTGTAAGCAATGAATAAGAGTCATCAGTTTCTTCAGAGTCAAGAGCTTAGAGTCTTACTTAATGAGCTTGTTCTGTATGTCTTTATTCAGCTTCTTTATAAATATTATCATTCAGATCTTATTTCAGAGCTCTGTTTTCACAGATCTTAATTTATATCACAATTTTATGAAGTGCTGTGAGTAGTCTTTATCAGATTTCTTATCTCTTTTTCTAATATTGATAATCACAGCTCAGGTGTTCTCTGTCTGACTTATGAAGTCTCTTAATTTATTCTCTAAATAGGTCTTGAGAACAGATCATCAGAATCTCTTATAATTATTCTCTAGATAATTCAGTCAGTTCTTGACTTCAGTGTAATAGAGATCTGTCA